AGACATTTATCAATATCAGCTGTCGATAATGTCAAAACATAAGCGTAGCATTGCGATTTATTTTTTTATTGTTAATAATCTATTTGTGTTTTTCCTGGTTTCTTTAAACATGTTTTTCATTTGGTTTTATATATTTATGTCAAATGCAAAAATGCTGCTGCTACAAATACAAGTTCCATACACTATACAACCATATACAATACTAGTTACGTTATGCCCATCTATGGTTACGCCCGTGTTCTACCAACAAAATAATTGACAGCTGACACTGACAAATGTTTTCAACCTTTAGATATAAAATACCCTAAACTAAAAAGACCTTTTTACCCTACGGGTACAACATGGTATGTAAATGGCATAAAAGTATGTAAGAAAAACGAAAAAGTAAACTAAAAAACAGCCTCTTTATGTGACCCGATTTCTTATGTCATTAGTGTCAATTTTATTTTGTTAAGTTGGTTGCACTTCTCTTGTATAGAAGTCCTCTATTTTAGGCGAGTTCGGTCAGTCAGGGGCTGGAGCGGGACAAATTTTAGGGTGCTTTTAAATGACATTTAAGCGTGTTAAACTGTCACTAATCGGACTAAACCGAACGCTAAAAGAGTCGTTTGGAGTTAAAAGTGTTAAAGGAGTTAAAGGAACGTGGCAAACCGAACGCAATGTTTATAACGTTTCAGAACGATTCAGAACTGCGTGAAATTAGTTGCGCACTAAATTACCAATGAGGTTGAATACTATGGAGATGACATTATATGACAATATACTGTATAATAATAATAAAAAATACTGGTGATGTATTTTTATTATTTAATTAGATTTGTGGCCATCACTCACTGTTATGTACCTCCTCATCCTCATGATATAAAATAATATGCCCGCTCATGTACCTCATTATTATTATTATTATTATTATTATTATTATTATTATTATTATTATTATTATTATTATTATTATTATTATTATTATTATTATTATTATTATTATTATTATTATTATTATTATTTTCGTTGTAAATTCCAGACCAGGCTATCTCGTATCTCCGACAACACGAGTCCTGACTGGCAAAAATACTCACAACTTCTCCCTGCTACCTGCAGAGTAAGAAATTATGAGTTCCGATTCTCGTGAGTTCTGAGCAACCTGAGTGAGCCCAGGATGACAGCCTTCTGCATTTCGGCGGCTATGTTTTCGGGTCTATTATGGCATGCCACCATTAATCTTAAATTAGGAACCAGATTATTTGTGATACCACCCAAGCAGCCAATTACCAACACGACAATTTTTACTGAAAGCTCTGGGTACAGTCTGCGGAGGTCGAATAACAAAGGTTGATATTTTGTCTTTTTTTCCTCTTCCTTGATGTTTATGTTGGACTCTGCTGGTGCCGAAAACTCAATTACGCTCATGGTTTTTAGTTGGTGATCAATAAGCACCATATCGGGCTTGTTAGCCTGAATTCGATGGAGGGTTGGGAACGGGTAATTCCAATATATCCTGGCTCTTTCATTTTCGACAACAGACTCCATATCCATTTGAGCGTATGGTAGTAACGGTGCCTCATCTATACCGTAGAAGTGCCTCAGGTGATAGTATAGCACTTTTAAAGCCGCATCATGGCGATGGATATAATTAGTGCTAGCATAGGTCTGGCAAGCTGATAGAAGGTGCATAACAGTTTCGGGTGCTCTATGACAAGCTCTGCAACTTACGTCTATCAAATTTATACCCATCACTTCTCTACGATATACTAAAGTGTTATAAACACCATCTTGCACCGCCACAATAAATCCTTCCGTTTCGGACTTAAGTCCACTAGACCTTAAGAAAGCAAAGGTTAGTTTCTTGGACAGCCCGCGATCCTCAATGTTCTTGTAGAAGATGCTATGCATGGGCTTATCCATATGAATGCGCAGGTTAGTGTCACATTCAGCTTTCTTTATATGGGACTTAAGTCGAGTAGGTTCAAGCTCTGTTATGGAGTTTCGATTTATTTATTTATTATTATTATTATTATTATTATTATTATTATTATTATTATTATTATTATTAATTATTATTATTATTATTATTATTATTATTATTATTATTATTATTATTATTATTATTATTATTATTATTATTATTATTTATTATTATTATTATTATTATTAAATGAACAAACATTAAATTGATGTTCCTTAATTTAAAAACCTGCCGACTTTGTTCACAATACACAATAAATATAATTTAAAACATATTACGAAGTTAATGATATTTAAAAATTAGTAGTTTTGGAACTTAAACTAGTAGTTTTTGTATCATGGATCTATATTTAAGGCTTTATAACATACCAAATCTTGTTCCAGACTAACCCATCCATACCTACACCTCCTCCTCCTCCAAAAACCAGGATCCTATCAAATATTCTTATTAAACCAGCAAATCAAACCAGTCAGATCGAATTACCTGTACCTTCTACTTCTTCTCTAAATATTTCATATGAAGAACCGCTGACGCCAAAGAAACAAAAAATATTACATACACTCTCCTCTGTCCGGGCAACAAGTGCAAAAAGAAAGCAAAAATTAAAATTGCTAAGACGACAAATTTCTCGAAAAGTGAATAAAATTGCCAACTTAAAAAATATATTAAATGATTTAAGTAAAAAACGTTTGATACAGGAAGATGAGTTAGATATAATGTCAAAACCTGGGGGCCCCATCGATGTAGCAGGCAATTAAAAAAAAAGTCTAACCTACCATTGCCTAAGAAGTATTCAGAAGAGCTAAAAGTGTTTTCCTTAACTCTCCACTATTACTCACCTGCTGCTTATAATTATGTAAGAAGAACATTTGGCACTTGCTTACCACATGTCCGTACAATCAGTCGATGGTATCAAAGTATAAAAGGTGAGCCTGGATTCACAAGTGAGGCTTTCAATGCCCTACAGATTAAATCAAATTCTTCCAATGAAAAAATAATTTGTGCACTTATTATGGATGAAATGGCCATTCGTCAACATGAGGAGTTTGTTGGAAGCGAACGTAGAAGTTATGGTTGTGTAGATGTAGGAACGGGTGCAAATGAAACTACGCTTGCAAACAATGCTCTTGTTTTCTTATTAAATTGTGTAAATGGAAGCTGGAAAATTCCAGTAGGATATTTTTTAATTTCAAGTATGACAGGTGATCAAAAAAAGGGGCTGGTATTAGAATGCTTAAAGAAATGTTATGAAGTAGGTGTTAGTGTTGTAAGTTTAACATTTGATGGTGCTTCTAATAATCTAACAATGGCCAAACTCTTGGGCTGTAATTTACATCATACAACTTTAAAAACGGTTAATAAATAATAGTAAATAGTGTAGAAGTCATAATTGCGCAATGTCATCAAATTAATTTCGAATCGATCATGTTGAAACAAATCTTAGGTAAGTAAGTCATTTAAAAGTTGTAATTCTGCATACGGACTTTAATTATATTTGAATACGACCCTGCTTAGTCAACCATTTAAGCCACACCCAGTGGGGTCATTTTTAATAAAACGTATCATATGCAAAACAACCTCATGGCATCTCTATTAGTATTATACCCGAGAATAACCAAACGCCGAGAAGCGACAAAGACCCTTTCCCGCCGGGTCCCGCATGTGACATGACAGTTTTGCCGGTTATAAAATGACGGCCCTGATCATACGCAAAAAATTTTGGACCCCAAAAATTAGCTATCCGTCGCTTCTGTAATAGTGGTTATTCTTTGCCTCCATGGGATTGCTAATTGCTATTGCTACATTAGTTTGAGGCATTAGGCGAACATGTGAAAATGTTATGCGCTATTTTGAAGTCTTGAGTTTGACGTATTACTAGGGTTGCCACATTTCCGGAAGTGAAAAGCGTGGCAACCGTGACGATAGGTCCACTTTTTGTGAACATTTCTAAAAAAAAATAAATGGTCTTCAGCTAATTTTTCGTAAAAACGAAGGTCTTTTACCCGAATATTTCTCTATTTTTGTATAAATCCGATTCGTCTGCGGCTTTTAAAAAGCGTGGAATTTGCATAAAAAGCATACAGGCAAGTCAAAAAGCGTGAAAATCACGCCGAAAGCGTGACGTCTGGCAACCTTACGTATTACCTTTGCTGTTAGCAAATAATTGCATTTAATCTATATTTTATACATGTACTTATTTAATTATTATTAAACAAAAATGTAAATTAAATTCAGGTAAAGTAATTTTTTTTGTTTTTCGGTTTTCTCAGGTATCAACGCCGGCGCTCCTTTGGGACTTTTCGTCCCTAGGCAATTGCCTTGTGCGCATAGGGGTAAATCCAGCCCTAAGAAGAGGTATTATCCAGTATTAGTGCCTTACAGTGATGGGTTTCACAACAGCATATTCCTATATTGAACCAATTTTTATGTGCTGTCTCCTCATCAGCTTCGGTAGAGCGAATGTTTTTACATTTGAAATCGTTCACTTCAATTTACGAAATAAATTAGGAGTGGAGAAAGCAGGAAAATTAATATTTCTGTACAAATACTATAATAAAAATTAGTGAATATGTATTATTTTTTTCATTATTAAGAATTCAGTTTTATTTGCAGTATTCGTTTAATCTTTATTTTGATATTTTATAAATCAAATAAATCGGACGAACCGTGTTACGTTCCAAGCAGTTCCACGAAATAGTTTAGATATCTTCATCTATTTGTTTTTGGTTAGTACTAATTTTACGTCTTGTCAATTTTATCTGATTTTTACTTTTCAGAATTCAAGATATTTTCTACAATTCTACAAGTAGAGTACATATTATATACTTAACAATACGTAACGTTTCTGATGATCGTTTTTTTACAGATTTTTCAAAGATCTTTCCTCTTCGGCAAAAGATCCATGACATGACATACAATATTTATATAATATTTTAAATTTTTGTTTTTTATTGGTTTGTACAATATTATGGATATTGGACAATTTAGACATTTAAATTTTGGAATAGAAAAGATCAATTTTAAAAGAATATCTTACCTGATGAGGAGACATATCATCCGGGGATTACCTGAAATCAAAAATACAGTTTCACATTCGGAACATCCAAAAATTCACCTACAATAAAATAAAATATATTTTACAATAGTCAAAACAGTGATTCAACTATTATTGAAGTTAAATATTTCAAGTACCTATTGCAATAAATAATTTGAAAAATTACCTAGATACATAATAATATGTATATTATGTAAATACCTAAGTCAATAATATGAGTATTTTTCTTATCAGTACTCAAGAAAATAAGTTTGGATTCTTAAAATACTTCAGACATTAGCCAGAATAAAATGTAAAAAATTGTATATACGAGGTTATCATTATATAGTTATGTGGTCTACACCTATAGAATGAATATAAATGTCGGATAATAATGAAGGAAAGATGGAAATTAAGTGAAGCCACCTGGCGTACCTCAATATTCCACTCTGGGTCAATTATTATTTATATTTCTTAATAATAACATTAAAGTATACACATCCAATATCCAGATAGGTGGCTCAGTATCAGAAACATAGATAGGGTAGAACACCATCTCCATCTGCACAACTAGAGGCTGTTCACAAGGAGAAGTTCTAACCCCACTAATGAGGAGCCTGGTGTAGACGAACTTTTATGCAGACTAACTGACTTCGGTATACCCCAAAATTCAGGGTTTGCAAGAAACGGATTATGCAAGAAGAATCCTAATTTTCAAACTGGTCAAACTTTTTATCCTGGTTTCAGTCGTCTTGTAATTTGAACCGACGAAACATATTTTATCAACTGCTGGGTGTTTAATCGACAAAACCATCATTTTTGAGCTACATAAATACTCACCAATTGACTCAAAGAAGACTGCAAACCATGTATAGTGTAGTATGTATGGTATGTAATTAAGTAATTTCACCTTCCATAGCAGGTATTAAGTCAAATTTACTTTTCAACTTACTTTTTAGACAACCGACTTTTCATACCATTCTTTTATAATCACACGCTGAATGACCAAAGATACTTGGAGCTATCAGAAGGTTAAATTTTAACGGCAATCAGATCAAGAGTTCCTCAAGATCAACTAAATAATATTTGGTTTTAACAAGACGGATGACCCGCACATAATGTTTGGGCAGTTCAAACTCTCTTAAGATAGACATTAAAGTAGTTTCAAATGGCGGACCAGTTAACTGGCCTGCCAGATCCCCGACATAACCCTCCCAGATTATTTAAAAATGAAGTCTATGAGTTTAAACCTCCTGAAACCGTACAAGAATTAGAAGAGAGAGTGAAGTATGTGTTTGCAAGCATAAATGGCAACACTCTTCGCAGTGTCAAAAACGTATTATTAAAAACGGCCAACATGTGATATAAGTAGTAGTAAGAGTTGCGAAGATAAATGTTATTGTTTTTGAAGTAAATTTCTTTTATTTACCAATTAGTGATACATCGTTGTAAAGCTGACATTAATAGCTACCTTTTAAGTATAAAATACAATATAGCGTTCTTAAGAAAAAATTAACATGATGATGGTATAAAATAACTGAAACGTCGTGTTTAAAATTCGAATGCAGGACTGAAATCTACATAAAAAGTTACTTCAAAAATATTTTTACGGATTGCCAAAATAATGAACAATAAAAAAGATATAGCTTAATTTCGAAAATGCAAATTTTGGTTTTTTAAAATATCTCAAAAATAAAAAAGATAAAATCACGTACTAAACGGATTTAAGTTGTAAATATATTCGTATAATAGTAGTGTGTGCAACAATAAGGGATATGATGGCCATATCGCACAAAGACGAAATTTGAGCACGATGTGCGATGTGGACAATTCACTCAATATTAAAAATAAATTATCCTGTTTTTAACACTCATATTTAACGTGTCTTGTTGGTGTAGAGTGTAGAGTCTAGCGCCTTTGTCTAATATTAATAATCATCGTTATTCGTGTAAAACCATATTTTTAAATTATCAGATTTTAATATTTCCTTGTATTTTTATTTATAAATGTTTATTATATGTTCATGATAAAAGAGATCAATTAGTTAATCACCAAACAAGTACCTAATACTGAAAACCTTATAGACAGAACATCTAAATATGAATCTTCACCAACCTACCATTGTATTAATTTCTACAAACACTTCAAGTAACTTCAAAACCTTGAATAATTTTCAATTTAAAAATACAATTAAAACTATTCTATTGAGTAGATACACTAATTTAGTGTGTGATTATAGTGCTTATATTGTGAATATGTTGTTGATTTATAATATAATGACATAGTTACCTATTCTAAAAAATAAATTAATTTTACAAGTATTTTTTTATTTTTCTTTTAAAACAAGTAATATTTTCCATTTTTCAGCATCTACTTATAATAAGAATTCATTTAACTTACTCATTGTTCTAATTGTAAGTAAAAGCTGTAAAATAGGAAAGTGTGACTTTAAATTGTTTCAAATTTCATAAATTTGAAAGCTCGCCATTTTATAAAACCATTGTATAAAGAACTAAGTATAGTAGGATAATCGCCATGTAAAAGCTATTGGAGGCAATCGCGCCCGACATCTATTGGTACAATCATTGAACTAACGATTTTATTTACTGGTTAGATACGCCCTCTACGTCAGATGTTAGAACTTCATAAGTGGCAATTCCGTAAAATTAATTGTCAGTATATATTTTTTTAGTTATTTAGATTAAATATAAATAAAAATTAGTGATTCTTGTAAAGAATCAATAAATAATAGCATTCCACAAGATATTCGTCTATATTTAGAAATAAACTGAGATTTTCATGAAACTAAAAGCAATCTGATTATCAGCGTTAAAAAGTAAAACTTTTTCAGAGTACTTGTCTAGGAATCGAAAGGTTCCGAGTTCAAACCCACGAGTGGATACTTTTTTTTATTATTTAATTTTATTTTCTAAATTGGTAAAACTTAAATTAATTTCAAAACATGAATTTTACGTTAATGACATCTAAATCTTCATGCTCAAATTTCGTCTTTGCTATGGCCACTCGGGATCATCAAATTATAATAGAATATTATAAGGTCCGTAATTTTATTTAAATCTTTTGACAATGAAACTAAAAATGTGTGTGTCTAAAGGAGAAATATACCGAAAATAACAAGTATTTAAATTTTGCTAATAAATTTGTATTAGGTATGTGTTAAAAGAAAATACATCATTTTGGATTTGAATATAGGTACAGTGTGTCGAAAAATGTCTGCACCAAGAAAACGCACGAAATTACATTTTTCTTTAATCTACGTAAAAAAGTGCGAATTAAAATTTTTTTACTGAAAATTTATGGTACCTAACAGGGTTATTCATTATAAATTACCCTCCCTTTATGCTATAATTATTATTGTATAATGTTTACATTGACCGAATTTTGTAAAAATGTCATCAAATGACCATATCAGTGGTGTGCATATTTCACAGGATTTAACATGAATATTTTTTAATAAGGATAGCATAGATATATATTTTATTCAATTTTCGAAATGATCTTTATTCTTTCCTGATTAATTAAACGTCGAATATCATAGATAATCTATGTCGAATATCTTATAAATATTTACACTTTTTCTTTCTCAGTGTAAACTACCTATTTGGATTATTTTATTATCAAACATAATAGTTGTAATTTTCATAGCTTTTACTTTAATAATGTTAACTTTTTCATGTTTACATTATCAACGTTAAATTACTCGAGAACAGACGGTATAAGATAGGGTTATCAATAATATACATTTGTGAAATTAGAAAAAAATATCCCAGAAATTTAATAACATAGAGGGTATCCCATTTAAAAAAGTTTATTTGTGTGGTATTCCGTGAAATCTGAATACGTGGTTTTATGGTATATTTAAAAAAAGTCAGTCATATTCACAAACTTTTATTTAAAGCTTTTTTTGAATATGCAATAGTGGTTATAAAATTGTGTCCAGGTCCAGGATTTGATGGTGGTAAATATTAATTCTAGATACATTTTTCAAGTAACATTGTTCTCCTGTTTTTAGAAATAAAGGTTAATGTTTAGCCAAATTCATATATTTTTTTGGACACACAGTATGTTTGTATAATATTAAAAACTTCCCCTACTAAATATTTTGGCTCAATCAAAGTAGATATCTTAAATTGATTATTGTTAGAAAAAGTAGAAATAATATTAAATATAATAAAGAAATTAAAAAAATAATTTAATTTAATAATTTGATAAAAAAATTGAAAATGAGTACGCATACACAGAAATATATCAATACTATTGTACTACATGCAAACCTTAGTAAAATACTAACATAAAAAAAAATTAGAGACTGTCTAAAATGTTATGTTTCTGAGGAGATACGCTGCCAAGTACATAGTAAATTAAATGTGTATCTGGTGGGACACGCTACCAAGTACTCGGTAAAAAATCACACCCGTGGAATTCAATGGCGTACACTATATTATTATTTTTATTTGTAGGCCAACCGCAATAACTTTTACATGGCGATTATCCTACTATAGTTCTTTATATAATGACCAGGCGTAGTATCTCGTAGGATACGAAACAATATTGCTGCCAAGCTGGCAGCGTATCTGACAATATACATAAAAATAGGGTCCTGTAAAATCAAAACTAAGCAAAAAAATTTTTTTTTCTCTTTTTACGTTGTTCTGTTCAAATAAACACCAAATATGTTAAAAAAAAAATTTTTTTCTTCGGTGAATCTGTTCTTGCCAAGAATAGGGTTAAGAAACTTAATAGTTTTGACTGTAAAGAGTGTAAAGTTAATTTACAGACATGTTAGAAGACCATCGATACTTTTACTTATTTTAAAGAAAATGATGATAAAAGACATTTGATTTATGTACAAAGAAATGTTCTTGAATTTCTTTCAAAAATTCATAAAATTGTTTTACCACTTTTGGGTCATATTGACAACATAATTCAGAAAATTAAACATTTTTTGTCAGACCATGTTGATTTTAAATGGTTTAAATCAGAGGCGACTCGTGGCATAGTTTACGAGGAGGC